ATTACATTGTCTGTACTAGCTTTGTTCTGTTTGTTTGTTTATTTGTGAATTCATATTTATCTTGTAAACTAAAACAATTGCAAGCAACCTAATGTGATAAGGAAGTGATTAATAAGACAATTTCAACCAGTTATTTAATTTAATTTTCTCTCTAAAACCTCTAAAAGAGGTTTTTGCAACTTTAAATGTAATAGAAATAAAGTGTTTTCAAAATATTTGTATGCTGTATATTATTATTGATTTACATAGCAATACTACTACTACTACTACTACTAATAATAATAATACCAGGATGGATAAAGCAAAAAAATTGCTTAAATATAAAAATAACCCAACATTAGGTAGGTGCTATAGTAACCCACCATTGGGTTATCTGTTGGGTCATTTTTAACCCAACTATTTTAAGTGAGTGGACGTGATAGTTTGTCCCAAAGCTTGCCTACTTTTTTACTACACACTCAAAAGTGTGTACTTTTTCTTCACAAAAGATAACATTCATTTAGGGCATAGTGTAAGTAAGCGAATTGGGAAGCAACAACAAAACACACACACACACACACACATACACTCACACATACACTCACTCACACACTCACTCACACACATACACTCACTCACACACACACATACACTCACACATACATACATACACTCACACACACTCACATACACTCACACTCACACACACACACATACACTCACACATACATACACTCACACACACACTCACACATACATACATACACTCACACACACACTCACACATACACACACTCACACACACATACATACATACACTCACACATACATACATACACTCACACATACATACATACACTCACACATACATACATACACTCACACATACATACATACACTCACACATACATACATACACTCACACATACATACATACACTCACACATACATACATACACTCACACATACATACATACACTCACACATACATACATACACTCACACATACATACATACACTCACACATACATACATACACTCACACATACATACATACACTCACACATACATACATACACTCACACATACATACATACACTCACACATACATACATACACTCACACATACATACATACACTCACACACACACACACCCACACACCAAACGCGAGCCTCGAGCGCGTATTATCGATTATTACAGCATGTATCGAGGCCCGATCGAACAGTCAGACTCACCCTTCAGCAGCAGCGTGGCTGGAAACGCCAGTAAGAGCAGCAGCAGCAGCTTCTGCAGCAGTTTCATGATTCCAACAGTGAGGATCAAATGAGAAAATACTGAGAATAAACGCGAGAGAAACACGCCTGACGCGCTGAGCGAGTTTAGACTGACGAACCGCACGACGCCTGCGCTCATCCGGGACACCGCTGACGTCACACGCACAGAGACACGTGTCGCCGTAGAAATAAAATGGGCGGGGCTTCCGAATGCCTTAAATGATTAAATATTTTATTTGAGCTCCTCTCTGTGTGTTTTCAGTTGGATACATTTTAAAGTCTCCCATTATGTCACAGTCCATCGAGATGGATTTCGTTTAAAACCATGTTTAACAGACTGCTGGAATGGATGCATGGGATTTGCATCTCATGTATAAAACAGTCACGTAAACGATTACGCAGCAGCTGCGTCGCTCACACTCACAATGCGCATGCGCCGCCGCTGACGTCACACGCACAGAGACACGTGTCGGGTTCTGCGGAGTTCCACGCATGCGCAGCACGCTCACAGACAGACGACACGTCAACATGCTGGACAAAGCTTTTTATTGATTATCAGTTCAATAACTGCGAAATTCTACAAGATAAATAGCGTTAACAGAAGACAGTGACGCGGGTAAATAGATCAAAGTGACGATAAGTGAGAGAGTTTATAATAAAGTGAATAAAACACACACAACCTGCTGATGTTTCGCTCATAATTCATCTGGTGTCATGCATGCATCCCGCACTGTACTCCTCTGAGATGCTACTGCAGTCAATACAGCAGACTAGTTCAAGAGAGCAGCACGCGATTACACACACTAGCGTCAAACATCAATCTGTTCGACCTCCAGAAGCTAAACGAGCTGTTGCTGGTCAGTTAACGAGATAACATCGCTACTAGTTTATTTCAGAACTAGTCTGGGGGACTTCAGTTGCAGAAATGCAAGATAAAAAAAAAACAGTCAGCTTTTTAATACATTTATTCTGCAGAAATAAGCTTCCGTATGAATCTAATGATCCGCGCTTGTGTTTAGCAGACTGCTGTGATCGTGTGAGGATGATGAGGATGATGAGGATGAGCTCAGTGCAAACTCTGCACGTAGTTCGCCGGAAGCATGCCGGACCTTCCGGTGCGCTGGACCGTGCCGAACATCCATCCCTCATCGATGGGCTGCGCGTTAACGATCACGTCTCCGTCGCGGAAGGAAACCTCGTCGTGATCCTGAGCGGCGTAATCATACAGCGCCCGGTACACCCTCTGCTGGACACACACACACACACACACACACACACACACACACACACACACACACACACTGTCTCTCTCACTTGTGACAAATGTGATGTTTCGGTGTGCATGTTAATGGGTGGCACAGGCATCAAAGAGCATACATTAATATTTACAGCCGCTGTGGTTTCTTGTTGTGTTTGGTCTCCTGGGGCGACGGCCACATTCTTGCACTCAAAAATCTCCTGTTTTCTTCATGCTTTCAATACATTTTGACAAAACTATAGAACATATGATTCCTATTACTGTCTTTTTTTAATTCCGTAACTTCGATTTTGACATCATACTATGTCATCGTACTGTGCACCACTGGAACTGTCTAATTGGCAATATGGAATGAACAGGTGATGCTGCATTTTTAGACCAAACACTATAGTAGTTGTGTATTAACAAGACAGGTACAGGAATTCTGAAAAGAGTTTGTTGTGAATGAGGCCAGTTATTGTAATTACTGGAGACAGTATCACGATATTGTGGAAATAAGAAGTGTGGTTTACAGTGGACAATAGAAATCCATGTTATCTGCAGAGCCGATCCTCCCTATACACAAAATATGCAAGCTGCCCTTGCTCTCAAAGATGATTTAATTTTAGTTTAGTTTTTGAATTTGGCCAGCGGTTATGAAAACATGAATGTTCATTTCTTTTAAAGGGGTCATATGATGCGATTAGAGATATTCTTTATAAAAGTTAAGACTCGTCCGCGCCCACCTAAAACGCCTCGTTTAAACATGACCCCACATGTCTATGTCACTGTGTGGGAAGATTTGCATAACACTGCCCAAATGTTCACGCAAAGAAAGAAGGCGTAACTTTGATTCTCGCTGTAGTTTTGTTGCTGCCGCCGCCATGTCGTGGAGACACTGTGTGTAGCAAAACAACTTTGGTCTTCCAAAAGAGGACACGACTAGAAATCAGTGGTTAAGTTGTATTTACAACACTGTTCCAGAACAGTTCAAACCAAATATTCAGATGTGTGCAGCGCATTTTACGGAGGACGAAGACTGTTTCCTGGGAGAGTAGCCTACAATGCCGGTGTTCTGACAAATAATGCTGACTTACAGCCTGTAAGTACGTTTTCATATTTAAAGGATTTGCCAGTGATGATTCAAATGCGAGTTTTGAGCAAAATAATGTTCTTTTTAGCAACATCATATGACCTCTTTAATGCGGTGCGCTGTCGCCCTTTCTACATAAAAATCTGTCAAATCATGTAACGTGAATTTCACACAGTCTCTTGATCGAGACAGAAAAAAAAACGAGTTGAAAGCGTACCGAGCTGCGGAAGAGACACTGTCGGTGCGTTCCAAATGGGATATATCGCCCTCCGAAGGACACTCCGGAGTGAAAACAATCAGAGCTGCCATATTGAAGGGTCGTTTCAAACCGAAGTGCTCAAAACTGGCTACTTCAAAGGGCACTTCGGAATGAAGGATTTTGAAGGGTACAACTGATGGACACTTCGGGCTCCCATGATCCCTTGCGCAGATTCTTTGCATAATGACGGCGCCTCCGTATGGGCACGTGATAGGCGCAGAAGGGCACTTCAAGAAACAGTTGTTTGGTCCCCTACACCCTTCAACCCTTCAAAGCTCTCACTCCGGAGGGTAAACCCTTTGAAGGGATTAGGGCATAGAGATGAGCCCTTCCGAATGGAACGCAGGGTGTTTCTCAAGCGCTTTCCGTGAGCGCGATTCGAGATGTTTCAAAGGCATTTCATTCATTAATTGATAAAACTTACAAGGATATTATGTAGACTACTTCAAAATAACCTACAAGTAAATGTCCAATAACAGTTGTAAATTATATTGTCTCTGATACTATAAAGCCAGAAGATAAAATCATGAAAAGCTGTAGATGTTTTTTTTAAAAATCACTTAAAAGGATAGTTCACCTTCAGTTGTTCCCCATTGATTTGCATAGTGTTTTTTTTCCCATACTATGGAAGTCAATGGGGACCAGCAACTGAAGGAGAACCATCCCATTAAATAACAACAACAACAACAATAATAATAATAATAAAAACAAATAAATAAATACAAATTGTATCTTTGGACATGAAATGCGGATTACATGATGAAAGAGTTTTTGTTTTGTAGTCATTTAAAGCTTTCTATAGATATATTCACCATGTCTGTAAGTGAAATATTCGCTGAGTTTTGGTTCATTTTTGTGAAGCGCTCCTGTTTGTCACGCCCCTGGACTCTTTGTGTTGTGTTTTCCCTCCCCAGGTGTGCCGAGTTTCCTTTAATTAGTCATTCCTTGCACCTGTGTTTTCCCAATCACCCAGTATTTAAAAGCCCCAGTCCTTTCAGTTACGCTGCGTCCGAAATCGCATACTGCTTAGTAGGTACTACATTTAAATTTGAACGTACTACCCGACCGTTAAAACAGTACGTTCTATATAGTATGAATGCGAGTAGTATGAATGGAATTCGGACGTACTACATCCGCCATGTTGATGTTGTCACGTGACATGCTTCTTCACAACAGCGCCAAAATTTAAAGAGCCCTCACTACTGCGCGAACATCAGCAATGTTTTACGCAATTCTTACCGTTTTCATCAGCGTTTTAACGTTGATTGAATCAACAGCTCAGAGGAGGCGTCGGTCAGCTGCTCGCAGATCACGCCTTCGTCGACAGCTTGTAAATCATTTATCAAATAAGGTACAATCACCGATTTAGCTAGCAAATTTTACCTCAGAATAAAAAGTCATGTCTGTGAACACCATGCCAGAGGCTCATTTGGACCAACGAAATAAAGTAATTTATTGTTATAAATAAATGCATAAAAATACACAGGACAAACAAAAGACATGAATTAATGAATAAACTTGAATGAATACATAATACACAATTAGATAAATAGAGAGAGAGGGAGAGAGAATTAATACATACAATATATACATAGCTTAAATAAATATTATAGATAGATACAATATATACATTAATAATATAAACATAAATAAATATACATATTCTAAAATATATATATATATACACACACATTTACAGACTGTGAGCCCTACAACCTACTGCCGCCTGAATGCTGCTGTGCCAATTCTTCGACTGTATTTCGAAGATGGAAGATGTATTTGGACTGTATTTCGAAGATGGATCTGACCTCCGTCCAAACCTCCGGCTTTCACGACAGTCCATCACGTCCCTCATCGCTGCTTTGAAGTCAGATTCTGACCGCGTCGCCGCCTTCCGCCATTTTCGAAAATGACGCCTCCTCTCGCGTGGCCTCATGGGATAGTAAAGTGTCCATCCTATGCATGCTACGGAATTCGGGCGGAAGTAGTAGGTCATCCGGGTACTTCTCGCCTACTGTTTTTCGAATACTATGAATTCGGACATACTACTCGCCTCGCATACTGTTTTTCGCCTGCTATATAGTATGGAAGTATGCGATTTCGGACGCAGCGCAGGTGTTTTCTCACAGTGACCACAGAGCCTGAAAGAGACTCTCCAACTCATGCAGGTGTTTTCAAACTTTGCTCTGTTTCTTTGAGAGGTTTGACGTGTCCACCAATGGTGTGAGGTTTTGGCTGCTTGTCTGACCAATGGTAGATGGTGGGCGGGGCTGTAGGAATAGAATCTCTCTCTCACTGAGCTTTAGAATTCCTTGCCTTCACAGTTTCTCACAGTATTTCTCAGAAGAAACAGAGTTTGTATTCTTTGGTAACCACCTTCCTGGATGAATCAGAGCATTTCCTCCCAGGACAATTTCTCCTCCTCCGTGACTCCAACTTACAAACTACATTTTCTCATGGTGTTCAGTCCCTTTTCTTACCTCACTTCACTCCATTGTTGCCACATGCAGCCAAATTCAGCCTGAAATGGCAGACTCAGCCGGAAAATTTCCAGTGAGGTGTAATCCTGTTCTGAAGTGTTCACATCAACATGGTGAAAAAATATCATATTTTTTCTGAAGAAAATGTGTGGTTTATGCAGTTTTTGGGGTGTTCTGACTGGTTTTAGCATGTTGCTATGCAGTTGCTAGGGTGCTTGTTTTTTTTATTTTTTTGGATATTGCTATGTGGTTGTTAGGGAGTTCTGGGTGGTTTATAGCTTGTTGCTATGCGGTTGCTAGAGTGTTCTGGTTGCTTTACAAGCCTGTTGCTGTGCAGTTGCTGGGGTGCTCTGATTGGTTTTTAGCTTGTTGCCATGTGGTTGCTAGGGTGTTGTGAATATTTTTTAGCCTATTGCTATGCGGTTGCTAGGGAGTTCTGGGTGGTTTATAGCTACTTGCTATGCAGTTGCTAGTAAAAAAAAAAAAAAGCAAGTTAAAACATAATTTTATAACAGAAATGTGAGTGGTTCTTTTCAGAGCATTTCTGTGCACTTCCCAGAGAGTTAAATGTGTTGCAAAGTAGTTGCTAGGTGTTGTGCTACATGTTTGGCATTGTGATTTTTTTTAATCACATTGCTTTGCAGTTGCTAAGGTTTTCTTTTAACACTTTTATTCATCAAGGACGCATTCAAATGATCAAAAGTGACAGTAAAGACATTTATAATGTTACAAAAGATTTCTGTTTCTAATAAATGCTGTTCTTCTGAACTTTCTGTTCATCTGTGAATCCTGAAAAATAAAATGCATCACAGTTTCCACAAAAATATTGTGCAGCACGACTGTGTTCAACATTGATAATAATCAGAAATGTTTCTCGAGCAGCAGATCAGCATATTATACTGATTTCTGAAGATCATGTGACACTGAAGACTGGAGGAATGATGCTGAAAATACAGCTGCGCATCACAGAAATACATTACAGTTTAACAGAGATTCACACAGAAAACAGCTGTTTTACATTCTAATAATATTTCACATTTTTACTGTATTTTTGATCAAATAAATGCAGGCTTGCTGAGCAGTGTTTCTTTCAAAAACACTGCAAAATCTTACCAAACCCAAACCTCTGACTGATAAGCGTATGAAAGCGTCACAACAACCAATGAAGAGCAAAACTTCAGCTACAAAACATGTTCAGAGATGAAAACAATGATCAAATGACGATTATTTACATGACACAACCTTCACGTCAACCTGCAACAACCAATGCATTCAACAAATCATAACTGATAATGAAATGTGTCTGAATGGAGAAACACCACCACGATGAACATCAAACATTCTTCTGCTGCACACAATGTCTAAAACTTCACACAAAGTTCAATAAAGTCAGAAAGAATCAACATTAAAAATAAACATGAGTATTTGTGATGGACTGACCAGCGGCTCCTGCTGATCTGCGGTCCATCTCAACCACCTGCGGCTGGACGCCATGGTAACCGTCGCCGGCGCCCATCAGCTGGTCTCCATGGAGACGTGCCATGTGCTGCTCATCGAGGGTGTGTGTGGCGCCTCGACCCCGCGAGCGCTCGAACTCCTCATGATACTTCGCCTGAGAGAGAGAGCGAGAGAGAGAACGTCACACTCTTACACACACACTCATGCAAACACACACACACACACACACACTCATGCAAACACACACACACACACACACTCATGCATACACACACACACACACACACACACACTCATGCAAACACACTGCAGGTGTGTGTTACGGTGCGGTTTGGTCTCTGATGAACTCGTGAGTCTTTACTAGTACACGCGTGTTATCGTTCGTCACCCGTGTGGTGTGTCAGTCACGTGTTAATGCTGTGATGTCACACGCAGGCGTTGCCGCAGTCCTGCTACCATGGAAACAGTGTCCTGAGATTTCCGCACACGCCTCATTTCAGGCGTATCCAACTCTGAGCAGGAGCGACCTTTGACCTCCTGCAAACTGCGCTGGTACTGCACCTGAAACACACACACATGCTTTTTTTAAAGGTGACATATCATGAGAATCTGACTTTTCCAGGTTTTAAGAGCTATAATCGTTGTAAAAAGGGGAATAATAGGTCTCCTTTAAATCATTTACATGATTTACATGGAATTTTGAGCCCACATAGTGGACCCTGTTGTGTGTGTGTGTATGTGTGTGTGAGTGTGTGTGAGTGTGTGTGTGTTCATGCCGTGCTGATGTTCTGCTGGTTCTGTTTGACCCGCTCCAGCTCTGGTGTCACTCCCACACTGACCGGATCAACCGCTTTCTTATATTTGGCCTGCAGGAGGAGGAGGATGATGATGATGAAGATGTGAATCAGACTCAGATGACTGACAGGTGTCAATCACACAGACAGACTCACGTCGCTGATGTTGCGCTGGTTCCTGCGCACGCGCTCCATCTCAGGAGTGTCAGTCACGGCCGTTCCGGATCCGACAGACTCCCTGTACTGAACCTGCGGAAGATCACGCACTCCAGCTCACGCGTGTGCGTGTTTCCAGTAAAAATACCTAAACATCCCAAAATATGCTGGCATTTTTTGGACAAAACAGCATAAATTTGGTTTGTTTAAAACAATGAAAACATTTTGCCAATGAGAATGAGTGAGAATAATTCTCCTCTAAAAAGTATCTGATACAAGTTGGCCAAATGTACTTTGCTTTATGGATTTTTGGATACTTTTATTCTAAAACAAGACATGGAATGATTTTAGCAGTGTGATGTGACGGCAGTACAGATCTCTGAATGTCCTGTGTATTATAGGCTACTGTTAACATCACACTGATGGGAATATGCATATGCAAATGATATGTAGATGAGGTCATAGTAATTTGAGGTGTTATAAGCTCCATGTATGGTTATACTGGGGAGGAGACAGATGCACACATTATCCACCTTAACTGTAAATGTAATGTGTCTGGCTTCCGGTGTCATTCGCTTCCAACCATTGTTACACACAATATTACAAACTGGTGTGTCTTAACACATTATTTGTGGTAATGTATTATCTTAATTATGAACACACTGGTTTGTAGTGTTATCAGTTTACGGCACTTTGTTATTCTTCTCGTTAATTAATTAATTAAATGAATAAGTCTCGCACATTCACAGAAAACAGCTTACTTCCGCGTTGAAAAATAAGGTGGATACATGAGAGTGCGTCCCGTGATCAAACTCACACCGCATGTTACTCACGTCACTGACGTTCTTGGTGTTTTCTCGAGCCAGATTGATCTCTGGAGTGTCAGTGATCGCTGACCTCAGACCCTTCATCAGCCGCGAGTCCCACGTGTAGAAGAGCTGCACACACACACACACACACACACACACACACGTGTCCAGTACACGGTCATGTGATGAACAGCACGATCAGTGTGTGTGTGTGTGTGTATGTGTCTCACTGCGCTGATGTTGCGCTGGTTGTTCTTCACTCTCTGGATCTCTGGTGTGTCTGAAGCAGCAGAACACGAGCTCTTCAGACGCTCCATGTCACCGCGGTACTTCTTCTGCACACACACACACACACACACACACGTGAACACCAGCTCTAGTCATCTAACAGGTACTGCGGACAGATGGACAGGTGTGTGTGTCATGTGACCTGACTGTAGACGTCTCTCAGGTAAGCGGCGTGCAGCAGCGCAGGTGTGTCTGTCACTGTACCGTATGATGATTCTCTGTGCTGAGACGCCTGTCTGTACGACACCTGAAACACACACACACGGTCAGTCCATGTGTCTTTTATCACGTGGGTGTGTGTGTTTGATCCGTCACTCACGTCGCTGCTGATCTCAGACGCTTTCTTCGCTCTCTGGATGTCCAGACTGTCTGCCGTGACGTCCGTTCCCTTCCCTCTGATCTCACGCTCCAGATCCTTACGATACTCCCTCTGCAGGAGCAGAAACACGCCACGATGAAGGTCAAGCGTGTGTGTGAGTGTGTGTGTGTGTGTGTGTGTGTGCGAGTGTGTGTTTGTGAGTGAGAGTGTGGGACTGTATGTGTGTGTGAGTTAAAGTGTGTGTGTGTGTGTGTACCTCACTCAAAATGTGTCCAGCATTTTTCACCCGCAGCAGATCCGGTGTTTCCTCCAGACCCGTCAGGCCTTTCCCTTTCACTTCCTGTTCCAGATCCTTACGATACTCCTTCTGTTCGACACACACACACACACACACACACACTCTGGTTTGTTTTTGTGAAAAGTGGGGACATCCCATAGGCGTAATGGTTTTTATACTGTACAGACCGTATATTCTATTGCCCTACACCAACCCTACCCCTAAACCTACCCCTCACAGGAGACTTTCTGCTATTTCAGATTTTCAATACACTCCATTCTGTGTGATTTATAAGCGTTTTG